TTGTTTCTTTATGATTACTTATATAAATTACTCAATAAAGATATGAGCAAGGCCTCACCTTTTAACATTAAAAAAAATATATATATATATATATATAAAATATAAAATTCATGAAAAGAGTCATGAACCTTACTTGGTTAAGGCATTAATTGATATATTATCAGATGAAAACATTATTAGAAAAAGCTTAGTTGAAAAACTTGGAATAAAATATAGTGACCCACCAAAATATATTAAAAAGAAATAAAGAATACCTTAGATATCATGTAAAGCCTTGAATTATCTTTTTGATTTAAAGGTAAGGATAAATTAGTATCTGGTAGTGATGAAGTTTTAAATAATTTTGTAGTTTACAAAGAACCTAAAGCTGATTTTGTATTAGGAATACCATGGTTGTGGTTGCATGAAACAAAAATTGATCCTTATAATGAAAAAATTTCAATTTATAGTAAAGTGATATCATTCTACAAGAATCCATCTTATGATTTAGAGAGCGATATATCTAGCACAGATATTTCTTAAAGAAATCATATACCATACAAGACTAAAAAGAAAAAAGAAAATTTTAAGAAGCAAAGCTCTATTGCTTTGCAATAATGATACTATATATGAGTCCTTATTCTTATTTTCATCTTCATCTGGGTCTGACTCTAAATTGTCTATCTATAAAGTGATTGTAGTAAAAGCAAAAAAGCATAATTACAAATTTTTATTAAAACTCTTTCTAATGATCATCTGTACCAAAAATTCAAACACATTTTTTGTAAAAAACACAATAGTGTTTAGTAAAAAACATAGAGCATACTAGCAGCTATAAGTTGGCAGTTGTTATTTAGAGGTAGTTCTCATATACTATCTGCTAATATTCAGAGTTTATTACTCACTGCTTGCATAGCACTTGTCATTTAGAAGTAGTTCTCATATGCTACTTGCTAACAAGCCCAGAGTTTATTACTCATTGAAAAGAAAGTATATGTGCTCCATCTCTTTCCTAGAAAAAGGTTTATGAGTTGTTAAGTCTTTACAGGGATGTAACTACTTTCATTGGATGCAAGTGGTCTCTCCCTAGATATTTTTTGCTTGGCTAGTCTTCTCCAAAATTTTTGACAAAAAGTGAACGATTTGGCTTACTCTCTCCAAAAAATCAGCATTGTTTATCTTCTAAATTCGGATATACTCAGGAATGAACCACATGTCTTGTTTATTAGTGGATATGATATGTAATGTAATTTATAGATATGAGATCTCCATGTAACTAGGATTAGATCTCTGGCATAAAAGACATCTGAAGGTAACTGGTAGTCAGATAATGATTTGTTAGATTTTGTAGTCGAGATATACAAATGTTGCAGTTATTATAAAATTTTTTCTTAAACCCAACACGAGTTATAATAGTATATTTTTCTTTTTTTAGTTCTATTTGTACTATTTCTTGATAGAAGTTGTTTGCCCTCAGGCTTTCTCTTTGTTTTTCTTTTTTTATATTTCATTGTACCTATTTTATTTCCTTTAAAATTTCCTCTTCATTATATTTGTTTTTTTTAGTTAGTTTTTCATTTTGTCTTCCTGGTATTATTGGTGGTTTTATATTAGATTTAAGAGTATCACTTTTTTTTGCTCTCAGTAAAGAAAGAAAATATGAAGAGAAAAGCTTTGACAGGCTAATAAAGTTTATTTAACTTGTATACAAGTTGGTGCAACAAGTCGCATATAGAAACATTAATCGCAGCCAGGTGATTTCAGGCTCGCAATCGCGAGACTCCCTATTTAGGTTATGAATGATATATATTATTTAAGAGAGTTCAACTCTTAACAAAATAAATTATTAAATAAATTAAAAACTGGCAAGACTGACAAAGAGTAAAAAAAAAAAAAAAAAAAAAAAAAAAAAAAGTATGATTAGTTTTTATTTTAGATTTGAAATAGTCTTGATGGTTTTTATTTACTAGTTAAGCTTATGTGGATATTCTAGATATGTGGAATATATATTCATTTTGATACCTCTTTGAGGGCTTAACTCTTAAAGTTCATTCTTCAGCCAACTTGAAGATATTTCATTTAATATAAAATTTTTATATACTTGTATATACCAATGCCCATATGGCAAACTAGTTATTTTATTAAATAATATCTAATGCTTAGTATCTATAGAGCAAAGAGCCTTCTTTTCTGATTCGACCAAAGATAATATATAAGGTAATGGAACCTATTGTTAAAAATGACTCTATTATTAGAAATTTTTTATTTTTTGTTATAACACACTATAAAACATAAATTTTTTTAAGCAAGTCAATATAAATACAAATATATATGCTAGAATATATCATGTTATATAAAATAACTATTTGTATAACCATAGAACCATATTTACCACTCTAGTAATCTTTGAAACAATTTACAAATTTGATAATAAGTTTTGATTTACTAATCCGTTTTAGATGATTTTGCTACCAAAATGTTCGTCTCAATAAGATGATTCTAACAAGCACAAAATTGTTAAAATTCGATTACAGAATCCCAAGATAGTTATGATTTTGTACTATTTTATTAGTAATTTTAAATTACTATGTATTTACTAATAAAATAGTACAAAATCATGATGATCTTGGGATCCTGTGATCAAATTTTAATGATTTTGGGCTTGTTAGAATTGTCTCGTTGAGAGAACATTTTGATAGCAAAATCATACAAAATGAATTAGTGGATCAAATTGTGTAAAATAGCTTATATGAAATACAAGATAAAGTAAATATTAAACAACAAAAACTTAAGAAATAAGAGCAAAAAAAAAATAAAGAGCAGCAAAAAAAAAACAAAAAAAAAAAAAACAAAACATAAAAAATAATAATATAAAAAAAATTTAAATTTTTAAATTTTTTTAGAATAATTATATTAAATTTCTAACAATAGGAGCCAGTAGTCAAATTTTAACCAAATTTTACAAAGTTTTAAGCTTATTATTAAAAAATTTTTTATATATAAATATAATACAATTTATATATTATTAAATAATAGATAAATTATAAATTTTATATATAAAATTTTATAAAAATATATTAATATTTAAAAAAATTTTAAATATAACAAAAAAGTTTCTAAGAATAGGTGTCATTAACTTAGTCTTTTGATCGTATACTTATATTTTTGGCATAGAATACTTTTTTCTAAAAAAGACAATTATGATATATCTGGCTCATAAATGAATTATTTTCAAGATAAGTATTCTTAGCTATTTCATTTATACCCTTTTTGCTAACTCTCTTATGCTTAGACACTGTAATATTATTTGCTAAAACATAGTGATAAGCTTTGCCCCAAATATGATAAGATTCTGTAATTACACTGTTTGGAGTTTTATTCTTAAATTTGCCAATAGTTGTATCTCTATTAAGGTTAAAGAGATCAGGTCGCTCTATCATGTCTTTATAGATATTCTTAGTTTTAACTTGAAATAAAAATGAGTCTGTATCCTTATATCTGAGCTGTGCTTTATTATCATATTTCTCTTTTATATATTCATACCAAAAGCAGTATATGTGAAGCTTGCTAAGGCCCAAGACTGACACTTTAACAATAATAGGCTTATTTAGAGTTATATTAGCTTTTCCTATATGTGCTCCTATAAGCAAAGAACCAAGTTGTCTAGCATACTTAAATGAAGGTTTTCGAATTTTATTCAAGAAATACTTTTCATCTTGCTTATTAATCATCTTTATAAGCTTAACATCTTGATACTTATGAACATTCTCCATAGTTTTACTATATACAGCATTATTTTTGAGTTTGAAAAAGTCACTTAGAAATGTATTTCCAGCTTTTTTGGCCTCATTACGTTTTT